CTGGAAACCCAGGGCCCTGGTGTTGTAGGCACTGGAGCAAATCTCCTGGTCTGCAGATTGTGAAGACTGTGAGAAAAGCACAGTGTCTGTGCTGGCATGCAGGGGACAGTCCCTAATGGCTTCCCATGGCTAGAAGAGGGAGTTTCCTGGCCACTGCTTCTTGGGTAAGGCGACGCCCCACCCTGCTTTTGCTCATCCTCCTTGGGCTGCACCCACTGTCCAACCAGTCCCAATGATATGAACCAGGTACTGCAGTTGGAAATGTGGAGATCACCCACCTTCTGCATTGATCTTGCTGGGAACTGCACACCAGAGCTGTTCCTATTCGGCCATTTTGCCGACAACCTCAGGAACTCTTTTTAATGGAATAAAAGAAATGCCAACTAATGTTTTTTTCCAGTATTGTTACTCCATCCCTTCCCCAAAATAATTTATTTTCTGTTGGTTTGGAGGAGCAAACTCATTTCCCCTTATATTTAAGGAGAAATGAGAAGAGCTATTAGTATGCAAGTTTTGACATGTTTGAAAAAAAATCGTTTAACTCTGGTAGAAGTTAAAAATACCTTAGAGATCATGTTATTCAGAGCCTAATTTTACAAATAAAAACCGGAGGGCTTTAAATACTTAGCTGAGAGTTAAAAACAAACTATAAGCAAACCTGGGAATAAAACAAATCTATTCCCAGTTCATCTAGATTTTAATACCAATTTAGATTTGGGGGAACAGATGCAAATAAAGAAAAAGAAAGTAAGGTAGGGAGACTTCTGAAAAGTTTGAATATATTCACTAAAACACACAAATTTGAAGATCATAAACAAATGAGAATCTTTCTGTCCCTCGAGAGCTGGACAAATAGCCCTACATCTGATCCCTATTCTGGTATAGGAATTTGAAACGCTGCCTAAGATTCCTGTGAAGTGCCATAGGGCTGGGAGGATAGATGCTCATGTGTTGTTAACCTTTGCCTTGTGGTCTCTGAATTCCTTTTCTAGTTTCTCTTTCATACCAGTTTGATATCTACACAAAATTCATTCCCTGCTTTTCCCCCAAATCAAAAAAAAAAAAAAAAACCTTAAAAATATTCATCATCATAGTTGATTTTATTGAAAAACTACAGACCAGCAAAAGTTCTCTTTTGGCAAATATCAGATAAAGTAACTTAAAAATATAATTTCCTGCCTTTCTTTTTCTCAATGTGATGTGTTCCTGCCTTTCTTGGTTATTTTCCTTCTTTCTGGTGCTTCTCTTTGGGTTTCCTTTTCTTGTGCTACCTCTTCTTCTGGGACCAGTGACTTCTGTAAAAAATATATGAATGTCAATGGGTGAATAATGAGTAGCATAGGATATAACACTTATAGTATAGATAGCATTTAGAATATAGATAGCCACATCAGAAGGGCTGCTTACATTTAATTTTAATAATTTGTTTTTGAGGTTGTAGCATTTTATGTAAAGGGTAGTATCCTTATGTTTTAAAATGTCTTTAAATATAAAGTAGGACAGTAATCCATATCTACCTTTTCTCATTTCCAGCAAAGCAGAATATGTTATCCTTATTCGTTCCTGCAGAAGCCAGAAATCATATGAATGGCTTCTATTACTTTTGGACCTGAATTTTCTTACCTCATTTTTTTCTGACAATTGCAATAGCTAATAGTATATGTTTCCCATATGCCTTGGAACATTGTAGTCAGTTTACACTATCTGAAACATCCTTTACAGGACTTTATAATCAAGCAGTACTGAATATTGTACCCTTTTGAAGAGCCCCTTACAATAGCAATGGAAAACAAGCATTTATTCAATAAGTTTAATATTAATATGTCTCTGTTATGTTCCTTTTGACCTTTTCATGTCTATCCTTTTTTGTTTCTTTGGTTTCTAGAGCCTGTGATATGAGAATTCATGACACAGTCTTTCTTTTCTTGAAGAAAAGATCTGTCCTTGTTTACCAAATGAATGTTGACAAATTGTTAGGGCTTCCAGATAAAGTACATGATGCCTTATTAATTTTGAATTTACTTGATCACTCAAGACATGTTTTTAGGATAAGTACATCTTCTGTTAGTATCCTATACTTATACTAAAAATGATTTGATGTTTATCTGAAACTCAAATTAACTCATTGTCATATATTTTTAATTGCTAAATCTTACAACCCTACTAGTCTGCATGGTAAAAATTTTCAATTAATGGGAGAGATATTTTTAATTTTTTAAGTTTTTTTTTTTTTTCTTTTAGATAGAGTCTCCCTCTGTTGCCCAGGCCAGAGTGCAGTGGTGCAATCTTAGGTATCTTGGCTCACTGCAAACTGTGCTTCCCAGGTTCAAGCTATTCTCCTGTCTCAGACTCCTGAGCAGCTGTGACTACCGGTGTGCACCACCATGGCCAGCTAATTTTTGTATCTTTAGTAGAGATGGGGTTTAATCATGTTGGCCAGGATGATCTGGAACTCCTGGCCTCAAGTCGTCTGCCTACTTTGTCCTAAAGTGCTGGGATTACGGGCAGGAGCCACTGTGCATATTCTGATTTTTTTTTTTTTTTTATGCTGTTAAAGTACATACCTAGTTCAGGTGGTTTTATTGTCCCTTACTGATTTCCTTTAAGATTATCTGTGTTATTAATTTTGTATCTTTGGCTCATTCAGGACGAAAACAGGAGGGTGAATTTTTTCTTTTCTAGATCCGTGCATTTTGTTAATCACTTATATCATTTAGTTTACAATTTCATCCTTTAAGTGGCATGATTACATACTTATTTCCTGAAAAATCATTTAAAAATGATGATTTTATATTGGAATTCAGAATTGAGACCTCTATCAGTTTTTAATTCTCATTAAAAATTTAAACTTTTGATGACCTTCTATTTTTATTTTCATTGATATATTTTTTGCTTAGTTACTAAGTACAATTATGTATTTGAAAGTAAATAGTATTATTAACGTTTAGTCACATTTCTGTCACCTTATCTGGGAAATTTCATAATCATGCAGTAGTGGAAATTCATTTTTGAACTTTGCACATGGATAACTATATTTTCTTATTACAAAATGCTGGAGTCTCTCTTTGAGATATACAAATATATATCTTATAGCATTCTTTTGACTGCTATCCCCGCCATAATCACAAAATTAGTGTTACTTCAAACTACTGTTTAACTTTTAAGGCCCATTTTAAGGAATGTTCCACTTGAAGAAATAAATATTTTCCAAAATATCAAAAGAATAAACCCCTTAAATAAAGAAATAATTTCTCAAAATTTATGAAAAAAGTTTTTAAAAAAAGGACTGTATGTCCCACAGCCTAGTTCAACAAATGACAATAGCTTTTAGCTGATACGCAGAAATCTGTAATCTTAAGGATTTACTGCAGCAGAACCTCATAAGTGTGCTTTCAGAACCAAAATAGAGATGAAATTTATACAATTTTGGGAAAAAAAAATCTCTTCCTCTTCTATTCATGATCAAGTTCTCTACTGCTATATTATGCAAGGAATCTTTTGATGGTTCTAATACATTTCCCTAAATAACAATCTATTTTTAAGGAATTAGAATTTTAGCATTAATTTCCTAATGGCAATTTCATCATTGCCTCTTGAATGAATATATTTTACATGATTTTTCTCATTAGACAAAACAGATTTGTTTGCTTAAAATTTATACATTTTTAAATTACATTTTATAATTTAGCTAGTGTTGTGGCCACTGATGGAACAGATTAAGGTTCTTACACCAAGAAGTTTTAAGATTAGACCAAAAAACAAAATTATAAAGTTTTTTTTTTGAGGGTGAAAATCAAAGACGTTTATGCAGAATTACCAAAAAAAAAAAAAAAAAAAAAAAAAAAGAGGTTTTGTTAATGTCATCTTATTTGGAACTTTTTTTTTCCCTTGATTCTGGAAACAGAAGAATCCTTCCATTTTGTTTCGATAAATTATGAAAAAGGTATGGTAATCTAGAAAAACAAGTGTATTAGTAAATCAAAGTTGAGATTATAGATAATTATTCAATCTCTTGAGGAAGATGTTAGAGTACATGACCTCTTTGGAAAATTATGATCCCATATGAAAACAACTATAACAAAATGAAATAAAGCAGTTCATGGTTTTAGATAAAGCCCTAACTCTAGAAAGGTCAAAGTAACATGACATGTTCTCTGTCGTTTGGTGGTTGCTGTAATCAAAGGTGGTAGCTCTATGTGGGAGAACTGCTAAACATCTGTGAGGCCATGTCTTTAAAAACCAATAGTAGGATAAAGTAGAGCTCACCTCCACATTTTTATTCATGACCTGCTATTAATTATAGAAATGCAGAATTCAGTATTGTGAGTTATCCCTCCCTCAATTTCTTTTAACTGGAAAGTAAGGCAGGGGGCAAAGATGAGCTTCTGTTCTTGAATGGGAATTCTCACTTACTCTTGACTTTTATAAATAATTTAATTTTAAAATCAGTTAATATAATGACATTTAGATTTACCTGGCTTGACTCTTCTCTACCTGGTGATATTCTTTCAGGTCTTCTCGTGCATATCTTGTAATATCATTTGGTTCTGTGTCCCCACTCAAATCTATCTCAAATTGTACTCCCATAATGCCCACGTGTTGTGGGAGGGACCCCATGGGAGATAATTTGAATCATGGGGGAAGTTTCCCCCATAATGTTCTTATGGTAGTGTATAAATCTCATGGATGGTTTTATCAGGTTTCTGCCTTAGGATCTTCCTCATTTTTCTCCTGCCATCGCCATACATGCAGTACTTTTCTCCTCCCGCCATGATTGTGAGGCCTCCCCAGACATGTGGAACTGTAATTCTAAATAAACCTCTTTTTCTTCTCAGTCTCAGGTAGGTCTTTATCAGCAGTGTGAAAACAAATTAATACATCATATATACCTATTTTAAGCTTTCTCTCTTTTGGAAGAATATTTGATACATAAAAATAGAGATGAAAGCCACTGTGTGAACTTTCTTATACTGACTGCTATATATTCATGCTACCCCTAGGCACTGAAGGAGCTGTATTTGGGCACTCTGTGGAGACGCCACACATCAGAGCAGAGCCATCTCAAGATCTCAGGTAAGCGTTCCTCTTATACCTGTGCTGTAAATTCCATCATTGTTGATAATCCTTAATATATGAAGAAGTAAAATAAACAATTAGACAGTGTTTCCTCCAATATACTTACAATAAATACAAAACTGAATACATTACACAGGAAGAATGTGGAAAAGAAAAGGCACAGGTAGTTATAGAGTAAGTGAGAGCAGCTAATAAAAATAGGGATGCTGAGACTGGGCACAGTGGCTCACACCAGTAATCTCAGCACCTTGGGAGGCCAAGGTAGGAAGATAACTTGAGATCAGAAGTTCAAGACCTGGCAACATAGTGAGACCCTGTCTCTACAAAAAATAAAAAATTAGCCAAGCATGCTGGTGCACATGTGTAGTCCAAGTTAGGAGGCTAAGGCCAGAGGATTGCTAGGGCCCAGGAGGTTGAGGCTGCAGTGAGCTATGATTGTGGTGCTGTACTCCAGCCTGGGCAACACAGCAAGACACCATTTCTAAAAACAAAAAACAAAACAAAGAAATGCTGGAAAATCTTACATATATAATAAAATATATGACATATATATGCATAAAAACAGGGCAAATAGAGAGTTGAGAAAACTATAAATGATCACAGAGCATTATATAGCGGGAAATATGGAAGCAAATAGAATCTAATCAGAAAATGGCAGAACTTAATTGGTCTATGAATGGTTCCTCAGTCTAATATTTCCAATAGAATAAGTTGCTTCCTGATATTATGATGGTTCTAAGAGGCATTATATGTAAAAGTTCTTACTACGCAGAAAAATTCCAACATTATGGGGAATTCTTTCCAGGATCATTATTACTACTGTTGACTACATTTGAAATATTAAAATCTGGACCCCTAATACAAAACTGCTCAGTTGATGCTCTTAATTCAATACGTAAGATTTGGCAATTAATGATGGCTTAATAATAATTAATGATAACTAAATTACATTCTAAAACATACTATTGTATACGAAAAGGAAAGACACAAATAGTGCTGATGAAAATTAATCACATATTAAAAGTTACTTGTAAAATTGGATCAAAGTATCAGCCTGGGAGACACAGTTGCTGTCTTGGGAAGCAAAATAAAAATTAAGTTAAAAGACCTTTTTATTTCATATGGATTGGTGTTTATCCCTTCCCATTGGATGAGTGTACACATGCTCAGATGGAAACAAAAAAATAAAGTTGGAAATCTTTAAGGCAATAAAACCATACTTTTAAAACAGTAAATTTTGCAGTCCTTTAGAATTCTATGATAAAATTTCCTAAAGAACTCAGTTTCTCACTACTTTTGTAATACAGATTCAAACTAGCTAGCGAACAATATTAGGGAAAAAAAAGTGGCCTCCTTCAAGGACCAAGACTTATTTTAGAAGGGCAACATAATAATTATCTACTCTGTATAGAAATCCTAGAGATTTAGGAGTGCTGAGGAATGTGTGTAAACAGCATCTCATAGGGTGCTGTAGTCTTCATTTATGGTGCTTTTTTTCAGGGAGGAATTGAACAACTTTTGCAAAAATGTTTATCATATCGTTCTTCTCCTAACAAAATTTCCATTAGAACAGGATACACATCTCCTTTGTTTATCCTCAGTGCTGTAGCAGCCAGCACTGTATCTTACACATCATAGTTGCAGTAAATGTTTGTCAATTTGCATTGCTGAAACTTAGCAAAGCTGAATAATGAGGACATTAACTAAATAAATGGGATATAAGGGAAGTGGCTGCAGTTATTATTGTCTTACAAAGACACATGTGAATAGCACTGATTCCAATTGTTTTTAATATGTGTTTTAATATAGAAACAGCTGGTTACTAATTTATTGAATAAATTTTTAAAAATTACTAAATTTATGTATTTAAAAATTTAAATTTATTCTTATAGAAATATTTATTTCTAAGATTTTAGTAACATTTTGAAATGTCTACTATGTAGAGCCTATCATCAAAAGAGGAATAAGAATTAATTGCTACTTTATCTTGCTGACATCTTTCAAAATTCATAAGTGAAAATGTGATATTATAATTAGTATACAGTATTTCTGGTTTTTATTTTCTGATTAGTCATTATTTAAACATTGCACTAAGCTGGAGTTATCAGCTAGTTCTCAAAGCAGACTGGCAACCCCCAAGAAAAGTGTTACTAAATTTCCAAACTGAAACAGAAGTAAAATACAGTAATTATATAGATATTCAATTATTTATTTGTGTAATGAAGAATTAAAGCAGTGTGTCTGAGAAAAACATTACAAGCCTTGCTGACAATTTTCCTTTTGGAGCAGTAAGTACTGTTAGTTGATGCCTACTTCTAATCAACAAGGTGACATTGGTTGGCCAAAACAATGAAATGATAGTTTGGGGAGTAAGCATCCATGTTTTCATTGGTTTTGTTATTGTCAAGAAAAAAAGACTAGAAAAAAAAAAACATTCAAAGTTTATTACATTAATAGAATATTGATAATATTTTACTGAAGAAATGTAGTGTGTTTCTATAAATTATTTATTCAGCAGATGTTTGATGAGTGTTTACTATTTCTCAAGTTCTGTGCTAGTTTTCAAGTGGAATTTAAAACTGGATTTTCTCAGATTTTTTTTTTTTTTTTTTTTTTTTTTTTTTTTTTTTTTTTTTTTTTTTAGATTATGTAGTATGGAGTCTATATTTTAAAAGCCTAAAACAGGCATATTAAACGGTTATAAAGACATAATAGTAAATTTGCCCAGAATGGCCCAATGTTCTTATTTGTTTTATTTCTTGCGTTAATATATAGTTAAGTTACTACCGTTTGAAGAGTTTCTGCACCTATGATAAAAAGTAATGATACTAATTATACAATGTCCATTTTCCAAAGATTGTTTTGGATCTCAGATCCATTAACTACTTCATGAATAAGAAAATAATCTCCACTTGGATTCTGTAAAATGAATTAATATTTAATCATATACTTGGCATCTTTTCATAATTCTCCTTCTTGCAAAAATGCAGTTTAAAACAGAAATATTAAGGCTTGCAGGCTCCAAGTTAATCTCTAGAAACACATAGCTGACATACACATCATTAATGTACTCCAAGAATAAAATCCATTTATTAAGCACTCAAGATTTTGTCCTGAGACATTTCCTAAATAAAGGTGTAAATCACTTGGCTGACATTGTTCTACCTATGAGAAGAACATTATGATAAATAGGATTTTTGCTTTCTTTCCCTTTCCTTTTCCTTGCCTTTCTGTTTCTTCTGATGTTTAAGTTCTGCTTAAGCTAATATTTAATAATTGCATCTTGCAACTTAGGTTCTTTTAAAATCTGAATTCTCTTTTCTCAGAATGTTGAGAATTCTAGAGATTTGGGCCACAGATTTTTATATTTGATACTTGCATAACACCTTAAAAGCAGTATCTTGTTGCATCTTTGGTATATAAACATCATAAACAAACAGAATGCTTTACAAAACAGGTGGCAGAGAGACTTGAGTTAAATTTAATCCTCCTTTCTGCTATAGTAATCCTAGGTAACCACTGTGAAAGCTAGTCTGAAACTCATTTCTATATTTGCTATAATGCTTTCAAAATGAATACAATTATAATTCACTAATTTCATTGACAAATTACATAGGAATCTACAAGTAGTGCCAATAAACCTGGGTTTCCTTTTTCAACAGGCTTTTTCAGAGAACATTTTATAATAAAGTGAATAGTTTAATTGAAAACCTCTACTGTACTGTAAGTAAGATAGTCTGCAAAACCCTCCTCAGTGAACAAGAGAGTTTCCGTACAAGAGAGAAGTGGGGCAATATTTATTTGTTGATACAGTGCTGCTAAGAGTCTGTTTATTAGGTAGTTCCAGAACGGTTGTATATCAGGGGTAATCAGTGATAAAGCATACATTTTAGCATTCAAATTTTGACATTTAAATACTAATAGTAAATTTTATAAGTTAATAGGATTTTGAGTGCTTGTCTTTTCAAGTTTTCAAATATTCTATGGAAAATATGGGGAATTTTGTTTAAAAAAATACAGACGTTTCTTAAAAATAGATATATCCAAAACCTCACCCCTCCAGGGATTATACGAAGATAGATGTCCAAATGGCTCATAAGGATTAAGGTTTTAAAGTTGCTTTGGTGAGTGAAAAAAGAAAAAATGAAAGGTTGAAACCACTTCTATATGCTGGCTCTACTCCTTCAATATCACTTTTAAGCCTTTAAGTATGCCTTCCCTGCTGAGAGGGACCTGAACTCCAGAGACCTAACCATTTGATGTGGTTCTTTCTACAAAACAACTGTGAATTCATTGCCTCAGAAAACAAAAACAAAACTAGTTGCGCTGGGCAAGAGTTTGAATGTGAGCCTGAGGGTACCTTCGTCTTAAAGTCCTGTGGTCAAGGGGAGCACAGGCAGCTGCATCCCCAAGGCAGAGAGCTGATCTAAAAAGTCCAAGGCATGGGCCTACCTCTTCTCATACTAGGATTTTTTACCACTGCATTCTAGCTCCTGTATTCTGTCATTTTGGCTTTTTTCCTAGTATTATATTTGTAGATAATTTGAAAACTGCCTCCCAACTCTTTTTTTTGTAGACATGACTCTCTAAAACACTTGTTTTTTACCATCATGATTTACGTAGCCAAACTTCAATCACATTTGTACTTGTATATTACCCTCCTATTGATTTTTGTTTCCCAGACTAATGTCACTCATTCTGTAGACATTTCACTGAGCCAAAAGACTCAGTTGATGTAGAAGATATCTTGTTTCATTAATGAGTACTCTGAAAATCTTCGAGCTCACAAAATTCTGACTGTATGTGCATAAAAGTCTGCAATAATAATGATTTTCATTAAAGCATTCATCTTTACAAGACAGGGACTCTTTATGGAGGAACATATACATCTACATCCTAAATTGTAATTTTTTTATTAAACCTTCATCATTAATATTAGTGTTCTATTAAAAAGTTTAGCAAGTATACTTATCACACCCTAGTTTTCATGAGTCTTATGAGGGAAATGACAAAAGAAACCATAAGTAAATTGTCATGAAAGTGAGAGTAAATACTTGATGTGAATAAATGTAGATTTTTATAAAGAGCCAAAAAATAGATAAGTCCATAAAAAAATTTCTAAAACTCATTTTATCTTTGCTTAAAATGACAGGACTCTTTATGCCTGTCTGGTTTGTATGTTTGTCTGGTGGTTCTTTTAAGTTGGGTAATGTTGTCTTTGGGTTTATCAAAATTTTTCTTTTCTATTAGTGATTTTTTGTTTGTTTTTCTCTTAGGCTTGAATCACCCACCAGATCCTTGATCATGGAAGCTCCTCGTGGGGTCCAGGTGAGTGCTGCTGCAGGAGACTTCAAGGCCACCTGCAGAAAGGAGCTCCATTTGCAGTCTACAGAAGGGGAGGTGAGTCCTAGAAAGGTGGACCCTGGCCGTTTACTGCTGAGGCTGCATCTTTTCAAATTATATGCATATAGTTCCAGGGGAAGCATAAAGAGGTGCTTTGTGGGAAAGTTTAAGTTACAAAAACATATATTTCTTGAATATGAATACAGCTTAAATATGAAATTTGGTAACCTAATGTTACTTTCCTAAGTTACAACTCCATTTATTTTCTACTGAAAGATATTACTTCACAAATCAATTATAAGTGGGATGTCTAAATACTTGTATTTTGAGCAGATATATCTAATATCATGAAAATATCAAGAATAATGACAGTTCATTTTCCTTTTTTTATTCACGTTATATTTTGTATTCAGAAAGTTATTCCAGAAAGCACTTTGGTTGTTTCCATAGAAAGAGTACCATTATTTATCTAGAAGAAAAATGTTGTATTATTTATGAATGATATTTCCTGGAAAAGGATATAAACAATGTTTTTCTTCCATATATCCTTTATCTCTCAAGCATTTCCTTTAAATTTTGTTGCTACTCCTTTAGACACCATTTATTTTTTTTTCCCTGTTGTAATTAATACTTTGTCTTTGGTGTTCTATTCTTCCACTATGAGTACACACACATTTTATTTACATTACTTGCTATATACTTTGTGATTCTTTTATCTGCAGAGTCACATTTTTGTCAGTTCTGGAAATTCCCATTATTTCTTCATATAACCTCTCCCTCATTTTTCTATGATCTTTTTCCTGAAACTCTGGACATAACTTTGAATTTTCACACCTTCCCCATCTCTTACCCTCTCCTTCCCAGTTTCTATTTCTTTATCTTACTGTACGTCATGCTACTGAATTATTCAGGTCTATAGTTTCAGGATTTAATCCATACATTGAGCTTTTTAATTTTAGTGATTATGTTTTTAATTTCTAGCATTCTCATATTTTCATTTACAAATCTGCCTAGACATCTTGGCAGATGCTTTCATGCTTGCTCGTTGCTTTTTTTTTTTTTTTTTTTTTTTAAAGTTCTGGGGTGCATGTGCAGAATGTGCAGTTTTGTTAGATATGGCATGGTGTTATGCTGCACCCAACACCTACATTAGATATGTCTCCTAATGTTATCTATCCCTTAGCCCTTCATCCCCTGACAGGCCCCGGTGTGTGATGTTCCCCTCCCTGTGTCCATGTGTCCTTATTGTTCAACTCCCACTTATGAGAGAGAACATAAGTAACTGGTTTGGAGTAATTGGAGAACATGCAGTAACTGGTTTTCAGCTACATCCATGTCCCTGCAAAGGACATGAACTCATTCTTTTTTATGGCTGCATAGTATTCCATGGTGTATATGTGCTACAGTTTCTTTATTTAGTCTATCATTGATGGGCATTTGGGTTGGTTCCAAGTCTTTGGTATTGTGAATAGTACTGTGTAAACATATCTGTGCATGTACCTTTATAGTAGAATGATGTATAATCCTTTGGGTATATACCCAGTAATGGGATTGCTGGGTCAAATTATATTTCTAGTTCTGTATCCTTGAGGAATAGCCACACTGTCTTCCACAATGGTTGAACTAATTTACACTCCCACCAACAGTGTTAAAGTGTACCTATTTCTCCATTTCCTCTCCAGCATCTGCTGTTTCCTGACTTTTTAATGATTGATTGCTACTCTAACTAACTGGCATGAGATGTTATCTCATTCTAGTTTTAATTTGCATTTCTCTAATGACCCATGATGAGGAGCTTTTTTGCATATGTTTGTTGACTACATACATGTCTTCTTCTGAGAAGTATCTGTTCATATCATTTACCCACTTTTTGATGGGGTTTTTTCCTGTAAATTTAAGTTCATTGTAGATTTTGGATACTAGCCCTTTGTCAGATGGGTAAAGTGCAAAATTTTTCTCCCATTCTGTAGGCTACCTGTTCACTCTGAGGATATTTTCTTTTGCTGTGCAGAAGCTCTTAAGTTAAATTAGAACCCATTTGTCTATTTTGGCTTTTGTTGCCATTAATTTTCATGTTTTCGTCATGAAGCCTTTGCCCATACCTATGTCCTGAATGGTTTTGCCTAGGTTTTCTTCTGGAGTTTTTCTGGTTTTAGGTCTTACATTTAAATCTTTAGTCCACCTTGAGTTAATTTTTGTGTAACATGTAAGAAAGGAATCCAGTTTCATCTTTCTGCATGTGGCTAGCCAGTTTTCCCAACACCATTTATTAAATAGAGAATCATTTCCCCATTGCTTGTTTTTATCAAAGATCAGACCATAGTAGATGTGTGGTGTTATTTCTGAGGCCTCTGTTCTGTTCCATTGGTGTGTGTGTGTGTGTGTATACATATACGTATACACACACACACATATATAGCTGTATATATATATATATATACAGATATATGTGCATATATATATACACATATATGTGTATATATATACATATATATGTATGTATATGTATATACACACACACACATATATAGCTGTATGTATATATGTGTATATATATATATACACACACAGGTATATGTGTATATATATATATATACACACGTGTGTGTGTGTGTGTGTGTGTGTGTATCTATCTATTTTGGTGCCAGTACCATGCTGTTTTTGTTACTGTAGCCTTGTAATATAGTTTGCAGCCAGGTAGCATGATGCCTCCAGCTTTCTTCTTTTTGCTTAGGATTGTTTTGGCTGTGCACACTCATTGCTGGTTCCATATGCAATCTAAAGTTTTGGTTTTTTTTTACAATTCTGTGAAGAGAGTCAATGGTAGCTTGTTGGGGATAGCACTGAATCTATAAATTACTTGGATCATTATGACCATTTTCATGATATTGATTCTTCCTATCCATGAGCATGGAATGTTTTTCCATTTGTTTTTGTCCTCTCTTATTTCCTTGAGTAGTGGTTGGTAGTTCTCCTTTAAGAGATCCTTCACATCCCTTGTAAGTTGTATTCCTAGGTATTTTATTCTCTTTGTAGCAGTTGTGAATGAGAATTCACTCATAATTGGCTGTTATTGGTGTATAGAAATGCTTCTAATTTTTGTAAAAGAATTCACTTATAATTTGGCTGTTATTAGTGTATAGGAATGCTTCTGATTTTTGCGAATTGATTTTATATCCTGATACTTTGCTGAAGTTATTTATCAGTTTAAGGAGATTTTGGGCTGAGATGACGAGGTCTTCTAAATATATAATCATGTTATCCACAAACAGAGACAACTGGAATTCCTCTTTTCCTAGCTGAATATCCTTTATTTATTTTTCTTGCCTGATTGAGCTGGCCATATTGAATAGGAGTAGTGAGAGAAGGCATCCTTGTCTTGTGCTGGTTTTTAAAGGGAATGCTTACAGTTTTTGTCCATTCAGTATGATACTGGCTGTGGGTTTGTCATAAATAGTTCTTATGTTCCATCAGTACTTAGTTTATTGATAGCTTTTAGCATTAAGGGCTATTAAGACTTGTTGAAGGCCTTTTCTGCATCTATTGAGATAATCATGTGGTTTTTGTCACGTTTCTGTTTATGTGATGGATTACATTTATTGATTTGCATATGTTGCAGCCTTGTATCCCAGGGATGAATCCACTTTATTGTGGTTGATAAGCTTCTTGATGTGCTGCAGAAGAAATGGTACCAGCCCCTCCTCTTTGTACCTCTGGTAGTATTCGGCTATGAATCCATCTGATCCTGGATGTTTTTGGGCTTTTAATTGCTGCCTCAATTTCAGACCTTGTTATTGGCCTATTCAGGGATTTGACTTCTTCCTGATCCAGTCTTAGGAAGCTGTATATGTACAGGAATTAATCAAAATTTTCTAGTTCATTTGCATAGAGGTGTTTATAGTATTCTCTGATGGTAGTTTGTATTTCTGTGGGATCAGTGGTGTTATACCCATGTCATTTTTTATTATGTCTATTTGATTGTTTTATCTTTTCTTCTTTAGTAGTCTGACTAGTGGTCTAAATATTATGTTGATCTTCTCAACAAACCAGCTCGTGGATACATTGAAGAGGTTTCGTGTCTCCATCTTTTTCAGTTCTGCTCTGCTCCTAGTTATGTCCTGTCTTCTGTTAACTCTTGAATTTGTTTGCTAGTTCTCTTCATTGTGATGTTAGGGTGTCGATTTTAGATCTTTCCTGCTTTCTCTTGTGAGCATTTAGTACTATCAATTTCCCTCTACACACTGCTTTAAATGTGCCCTAGAGATTCTGGTACTTGTGTCTTTGTTTTCATTGGTTTCAAAGAACATCTTTACATTATTTCTGCCTTAATTTCATTATTAACGCAGTAGTCATTCAGGAGCACGTTGTTCTGTTTCCATGTAGTTTGTTTTTAATTCCACATTCGTTATTTTAAATGCTCATGCATTATTCCTATGCTAGTCTGTATATTTTTACTGTGATTTTGAAAGTTCTTGATGGTCTAAATCGTTGTAATGCTTTTTCTACCAATATATTCCGTTGGTATTTTATTGTTTTTAATTAATTATGAGCCCACAAAGGTTAAATTGAGAAGGAAAAGAATGAAAGGATAAGTTGAGAGACATGTTCTGGAGTATTTCATGCCTCTTCAGATGAGGTCATAATTTAATACAGGCAAAAGAGGAGTATTCCTTTTTTATGTTTATGGAATTATCTCAGTTGTTAATTCAAGATGCTAAAAACTCAGTAAATTAGGTATCGATGGAACGTATCTCAAAATAATAAGAGCTACTTATGACAAACTTACAGCCAGTGTCATACTAAATGGGCAAAACTGGAAGCATTCCCTTTGAAAACTGGCACAAGTCAAAGATGCCCTCCATCACCCCTACTATTCAACATAGTATTAGAAGTTTGATGAGGGCACTCAGGCAAGAAAAGAAATAAAGGCTATTTCAATTAGTAAAAGAGGAGGTCAAATTGTCTCTATTTGCAGATGACATGATTATATATTTAGAAGACCCCATCGTCTCAGCCCAAAACCTCCTTAAGCTGATAAGCAACTTCAGCAAAGACTC